CCCTCTGACCTCCTCCTCCAACCTCCTCCTCCTCGGGTACGCGCTAAACTGGGTCAGACACGGCCCTCTCGCGAGTCCGCTGGGTAGCTCCCCAAAACCAGGTCAACCAAGGGGGATTGGCTGATCCCCCTTCGCGCTGACCCTGGTCACGTGCGTTCCGACCTACATCTCCTTTTCTTCCTCTCGGCGCCGAGCGGGGTCTGGCCGTGTTATATCCTCATGTGTATACGCCGCCTGCCCCGGCATCCGTTCTCACTCTAAATTTGGCAACGCTCCTGACTCACATAAGATTCTCAACTTGCTCAGTCCATCTTCTACTGCAATGGCTGTCGCACCCCCAGACGTGTCGGTAGGGCGGGCCGGGCGCCTCGCCTGAGACGTCCTCACCATCTCCGATCCTGAAGCTTAACATCTGCAACACTTTCACATATCGAGGGCGGGTGGTTTTCAAAATGTTGCTCTCGCTTTGACTCCGCGCGCATCGGTTTTACGAATTTGCAAAACCCTCAAGGATGGAACGCGTGTTGCTTTCACACTGTGGCTCTCGCCTTAGCGCCGCAAACATTCGTCTCAAGAGTTTGCAGCCGTTTCAAAGATGGAGGGCACGTGGCTTTCAAAATGTGGCTCTCGTCTTAGCGCCAACAGTTTGCACCAACCTCAAGAAACCTCTAAGGTGGATGGCGGATCATGGTCGAAATGAGTCTCTCGCTCTAGCGCCGTGCGTCCTAATTTGTCAGCCGATTCAAGAATTCGTACGGTTGAAGTCCCAGGAATTGTGTTCTGGCACGATTTAGGATCGCCAGGTCGCAACAGTCACGTTGATTCGCTGTGTTGGAGTCCCAGGAGCGGTGATTTTGCACGAGATTCAAGATTGGCAGGACGCAACACTCACGTGAATCCGCGCGCTGCAATCCCAAGAACGGTGTTTTGGCACAATTGAAGCTTCTCAGACGGTTGTCAATCAATGGGGCACTTCCCGCAATAAACATGAATCACTGCAGGCTGTGATGAGGGATTTTTGAGGGAGGGTTTATCGCATCATCGTTGATGCGCCTTGGATTTACACTGGTCCTCCTCCTCCTCCTCGTCTTTCCTCCCCGTGCGCCCATTCCTCCTCCATCTCATCCTCCTCCTTCTCGTCTCTCCTCCTCCTCCTCCTCGTCCTCTTCCTCGTCGTCCCCCTCTCCCCCCCTGGCTCCAAATTCTCGCCGGGGAGAAGGGGTCTTGGAAGACCGGTTTGGGGGGAGGAGAGAAGAGGGATTGGGAGGGATAGGGGGGACTTGGGCAAGCTGAGTGCCTCGCGCGCCATATCTGGCATCCTACCCTTGCCACCCCTCTCCTCCCGTTGCGATGAAAGATTTCGTGTCCATTGGGTTTACAATGGTTTGGGTTTGGGGCTTGCAGTGGTCCCTCTTGGTCTTCCTCCTGTTCTTCCTCTTCCACCTCGACCTCCTCCTCCTCCTCCTCCCACTCCCCAGCAATTTCGCGCCACAGCGCCCCCCCCCCCCCCCATGCCAGGGGATCGCGCGCGGGCGATTCGGGCTCCAACGTCGAAGTGACATTTCGCTCGAGGGCCAGCATCGGCAAATGTAGGGCCCAACGCCTTCAGTTGCAGTGCTGAGGCCAGGCTCGCGCGAGGCCGCCAGGAGCCACGCCCTCCCCCGCCCCCTCGTCATCCTGCCGAGTAGCATTTTCAGCCCACCGCGGCGCTGCTGCAAGAGTTAAGGGCTCCCAACTTCGCGCTTCGCGCTGCGCGAAGCGCGAAGTGCGAATAACTTCGCGCTCTCGCGCCGCCTCCCAGGGGAGAAGAGGAGGACGAGGAGGAATCGGAGCCGAACCGCGAAGCGCGAAGCGCGAATAACTTCGCGCCCTCGAGGGCGCCCTTGAAGAGTGCAGGCATGGAGCGGCATCATCAGCTCCGACGCTGGGACGAGCTGGTGCGGTGACCAGCGTAGCGACAGCAGATGTGGCCAGTGCGAGAAGGGAACACCGATGGCAACATCCCCAACCACTGTGGGCACGCAACTGCAGGAGCCAACCGCCATCAGCTACAACCTTGGTGTCAGCTCGTGCGCAGAGACAAAAAACAAGGCAACAACCACCATCCGTGCGAGACAGGAAACGAAAGGTGATCGGAATTGACAATGCGAAAAGTGGGACACGGGCCGACATCATCAGCCACATCGGTGGGAGCCGACCGTGCTATGAAAGCGGGCCCTCGCGGGCCAACGTAAACGGCTACAGGGCTCGAACCAGTTTGCGTGGGGGCCGAAAACGCACGAGCCAACATCATCAGCTGCAATGCTGGGGCCAGTTCGTGCGGCAGACGCCAGACAGAGCGAATAGTTCGCGCGAGACGGCCGGCAGTGGCAGCAGGCGCTGGCACTGCGACAAGAAGGCGAGTGCAGGACATCATCAAATACAGCGCTGGGACCAGCTCGTGCGGCAAGACAGGCAGTGGCTGTCGATTCAGAAACGCAGGCAGTGGCAGCAGTGGTGGTCGTCGGCCGAGGGCGAACCAGGAACAACACATCATCACTCACAGCGCTGTCAGGGGTCAAGCTCGTGTGAATAGGCAGGACGTGGTAGCTTGGTCTGCCAGTGCGGGAAAGCAGACAGCCGCAGCAGCGTTTGTCGCTGCCCGAGGGCATACGTGGTATGATTAAAGACTATCAACTACGATACTGTTGGGGTCAGCTCGTGCGGCACGGCAGGCAGTGGCAGCATGGTCTGTCGATGCGCAACAGCAGGCAGTGGCAGCAGCGGTTGTCGATGCCCGCGGGCAAGGCACGAGCAAAACGACATCAGGTACATTGCTGGGGGGGTCGGCTCTGGCGAGAAGGCGGGCAGTGGCAGCAGCGTCTGGCGGTGCGAGAAGGCAGGCAATGGCAGCAGCATCTGGCGGTGCGAGAAGGCAGGCAGTGGCAGCTGGAGCGAGCTCTTCTGGGCGCAGGACTGACATGATAGCGTCGAAAATTCGCCGACCCAGTCGACGTGTGCGAGAGTCCCTTCGACGCGAGGCCATCCCAACCGAAACGGAAGCACGCCAGCCTCCTTTGAATCGTCGTCCTCGTCGTCGTCGTCGTCGTCGTCGTCGTCGCCGTCGTCGTCGTCGTCGTCGTCGTCGTCGTCTGGGAGATTGAACAATCAAGGCGGATCGAACACTGTCGTAATTACCCATGGGGGGGGTTCCCAGGGGGGTCCTGGAGGGGGTCCTGAGGGGGTCCCAGGGGGGTTGTGACCCCTCCCCCGCTGGTGGCTTTCTCCATCGGTTCTCGCCTCCCAGACGCCCGCCCCCGAAGCGACAGACGGCTCTCCTCCTTCTCCGCCTCTCTCTCCTCCTCTTCTCCTCTTTCTCCTACCTCTCTTTCTCCTCCGCCTCTTTCTCCTCCTCCTCCGCCCCATGTCCCGAGCTTGTGGCAGGGTAATCAGCTCGTCGTTGTCGTTGTCGTTGTGGTCGTCGTCGTGGATTGTCGTGGTCGTCCTTTTGGGTCGACGGCACCGGCCGCAAGGCTTTCACACTACAGAACGATATGGTCCTTGTTTTCCAACCCTTTCGGCCGACCGGCCTGGGCCTGGTCGAAGTGATGATCGCGAAGCGAATTCAGAGCATCTACCTCAATGATGTTGAGGTTAGCTCGGGCGAGACAGCAATCAATGGCAACTCGGGCTTCCGGTGAGCGAACGCAAATAACGACAACAGTGGCTGTCGGTTCGGACAAGGATTCATCGGCAGCAGCGACCGAGGGTGAAGCAGGAACAACACATCATCAGCTACAATGCTGGAGGCACCTGGTGCGAGAAGTCAGGCAGTGGCAGCTACGAGAAGGCAATCTGGCGCAGGCTGCAGCGCCTCCAGGGGACTTACTCTGGCGGGGACGAGCTCAGGGGACGGGGGCTCGCGCTGCATAAGCCTAATCAGCGGGTCGTCTAATCAGCGCACAGTCGTACTGAGGTAGGCGTGCCAAGCCCTGACCAAGCGTTGATTTGGGAGCTGACTGTCGTTTCGGCAGTTTTGCGGCGGTGGCCCAATGTAGGACCTGGGCTAAGGCACATCGGTGTACCTGCTGTGCTGGTGACTGCACTCACCTGCAGCCATAATTCAAGAGACCCATCACCCATGTATTGCACCTCTGGGGTTCGACCGCGTCTTGAGCCGCCCAAGCGCCCCGGCGGAACAGTTGTCGCGTTGTTCCATGGGCAGGAGCGCCCTCGTACGGCGGACCTACTTTTAATGCGCGGCACATGCATGTGGCTGTACAGCGGTCGTGTGCGCGCGGCCGGCCAATTTTGGACTTGGAGTGCTGGTGTATGTCGGTTCGGAGAAGCATTCATCGGCAACAGCGGTGGTCGCCAGCCGAGGGTGACGCAGAAGCAACACATCATCAGCTACAATTCTGGAGTGGTGCGAGAAGGCAGGCAGTGGCAGCTGCGAGAAAGCAATCAGAGACAGCTCGGCTCGGGGGTGCGCGACGGTTGGAAGTGGCAGCAACGTTTGTCGTTGGCCGACTGCGAACCAAGAACAACACATCATTAGCTACAATACTACTGGGGACAGCTCGTGCAAGAAGGCAAACAATGGAGCAAGCAAAGTGCGGGCTCCGCGCCCAGGCATCATCCGCTCCAACGCTGGGGTGGCGCATGTAGCAGGAGCAGAGCTGAACCTCGTCGCCCAGGGGAGGCGTGGGGGGTGGTGAGGGCTCCGTCCGCCACAGCTATTCGTTCTCGAATGCCTGACGGTAAGACAACCTGATCCAGCATAATCCTCGCACTCCCCTCGTGCCTCCTCCTCTTCCACCCCCTCCTCTTCCTCCTCCTCCTCCTCCTCCTCCTCCTCCTCCTCCTCCTCCTCCTCCTCCTCCTCCTCTCCTCAAACTCCCTCGTCACTCCTCGTCGTCGTCCTCCTCCTCCTCCTTCTCTTCCCCCGCCCCCCCCGACGAAGGCGAGCCAGCGCGCGAGAGACGATGACGACGGCGAGACACACCCCAACGCGAGCGGGCCTCCCTGGACTGGCAGCGCTGGCGATGGGCGTAAACGGCGCGGCGCGAACGTGGACTAGTAC